CACCAGCCAGTGAAAAGCCTTGAGCAGCAGTCGAAAGAAAAGAGAAAAGAGAATTCACGTCAGAAACAGATTATCAATTTATCTACCTTCCACCCAGAGGACTGCCTGTCCTCTGGTATTTTCCCCTTTGCTAACTCTTGACAGAGGATGACAAAGACCAGAGCCAGGGAAGGCCAGGACAGGTCTGGGAGCAGCAGGTGGCATCTCCTACAATTCAGCCCTCGCTTGGCACAGCCCGGGGCCCCACACTTGGTAACCATAAAAGAAGAGAGAGAGGCATGTATAAATCCAATCAATACTGTGAAAAATATGTAAGCAGTAGATTTAGGCACCAAATCAAAAAAAAGAATGATCCACAAACAACAAAATAAACTACCTTGTACATTAGGAGACTCGGCATTATGCAGAGGTCAGGTGCAGGGTTTCTGGAGTCAGCTCACCTGAGCTCTAACCCAGATCTGGCATTTTTCTAGCTCTGGGAGCCTTTTTCATTGAACAAACATTCACTGCTCACCTACTAGGAGCAAGGCAGTGGACTTGGTCTCAGGGATGTATTGGTCCCTGCACCTTTGGAATTAAATTCTAGTAGGAAGGACATTAATAAATACATAAAACAAGGTCAGTGCCACATAGCAATGAGAACATAGAGGGAATTTAAATATGGTGATGCAGTCAAGAGTGACTGGGAGAGCTATTTTTTTTTAAATCCTCACCAAAGAACATGCTCACAGAGAGGAAGGGAGAGGGAGAGAAACGCCGATGTGCGAGAGAACTACTGATTAGTTGCCTTCCTTATGCTCCTCAACTAGGAAGTCAAACCTGCAACCCTGTATGTGCCCCGAGCAGGAACTAAACCGGCAACCTTTCCGTGCACAGGATGATGCTCAACCAACTGAACCACTCTAGCCAGGCAAGGGAGAGCTACTTTCTAAAGATCTGTCTGGGAAGATCACTCAGAAATGGCATTTAAGTCTAAATCTAGATGATAACAAGGAGCCCATAAGACAAAGACCGGTATAAAAGGGAGGTGCAAAGGCCTGAGACAGGCACAACTGGACCTTTGGAAAACTAGAAGGCAGGCCAGTGTGGTCATTACTTGTGTGGCTCATGTTTGTCATCTATAAAGCAGTAGTGGTGAGGATGAAACTCTTGACACCACATCTGCACATAGTTTGTGGTCAATAAATGTAAATTGCTAGAATTATCATCCTCATCATCATCACCATGAGACCCCATCTTTGGAGGTGTGCAAGCGGAGGCTGGGTAACCACCTCGCAGGCATGCCCCAGCTACATGGCCTCTGAAATCCCCTCAGCAATTAGATCCCAGGATTAGACAAGGTGCGGAAAGGGGAAAGAAGAAACTGTAAAATGGTTACACTCAGGCTTCCTACCCAGGTTACTTTAAAGAACCCACTGAATCATGCAACAATGGCACTCATTCAACAAATGGCCCCTTCCCATCTGAGAGTCTATGGTTCAATCCTCAGATGGTCAAAATCCCCTCTGGTAGCCAGTTGACACACTATCTTTAGCCCTAAGATCTACCCTGGTTAGGACGCACTAGGTTAAAACTTATCACAACACAAAAGGATACTTAACATTGTTAGCTATCGATAGAATGAAGTAGTGATGAGCATATTTTTGACTTCACATGCATCCCAAATCATTGCATTATCTCATGTTTAAAATGTTCCAACCAGAAATGTACACATCACAGACTCCACTAGCTATATGTTTCCCTTTAAAAACAAACAAATAAACAAATCTGTATCTTGGCATACTCTGTCAAAGTATTTACTAACTTGGTGAGCTTTCCGAAGGCCACTAATTCAGGCTGACTTAAGTGTCTTTACGTTAGGAAAAGAAAGGTCTCCAGTTACCCCACCTCAAGCTCTTAATCATTAAAGGTCATATCCTTTCAAGTTCTTTTCTAAAGTTCACTGAACTACAAGGTAAATGTACTACAACCATAAACAAATAATATGGCGTCATACATCCTTGAAACTATTTCATCGCCTACCCTTGATAATTTCATGTCTGTTTAGAAGGTGAAAATCACATAAAAAATTTAAAACCTCATACACATCATAAAGCCAAGCAATAGTGAATGAGGGCAATATAAACAATCCCAATAAGTCAATGTAAAATGCACGAATATTTTTATTATGCCAGGTTTTTAGCATTCCAAACTCAAGGATTTAGGGAGAAGGGAGAAGGGAAGAATCTTCATAAACCAAGAGAGTAAATCAATCAATTTACTCTCAACTTGAGTTTTTCTCACCATAATCTTTGTTCCCTCCCCCATATCCAATCCCCAAAAGGAAGAAACCTAGAAGAGCAGATGAGAATGAAAACTGTCCCATAGAAAAACATCCCTCTAAAACAATGAAAAAAACAACAGTTTAGGTATAGAACATGTCTAAGAAGGATTGTTGAAAGAATGCATTATATGTAGATTATTCCTTTTTCTTAATCTGAACTAAAAATCCATATTCAATATGTACATGTTGGCATACCAAAAGACATTACTACTGTATACTAACGTTTACCTTAAAAGAATCAAAACTGTGCCTTCCAGAAAGCAGAAATGGGACTAACAGACCCATTCAAATCCAAATTTATCTACTGGCTTTTGCAACATAATCCAACCAAAAGAATGTGATTCATATCTCAGCTATGCAACAGCTAACTTTTCAATGTGTTTTGAAGTAGGTGCCACCAAAAAACAAAAAAAATGTAACAGTCAGAGCCTTGGCATTAAAACACTGCAAGTACTTTGAGAGTCTTTAAAAATAAGAACTAAGTAATACAGGCTCATTGAAGTATTTTAGAATACACATATGAGCAAAAAAATTAATAACAATAATCACAAAATGCCAAGATAACACTATTAACATTTTAGTGTACAGTCTAATTTATTTGAGAAAATAATTTTCACATAACTGAATTCACATTGCACATTTTTACTGAACAATGTCAAGAACATATGTCTGTGCTTATATATACATATCAATAACATTTTTATGAATATATAATCTTCTACTTTATGAATATACCCTAATACAATGAACTCCACAGAGATTCTATGTAATTTGTTCAGATGCCCTACACTAAATGAATAGAGTGGGTTTATTCCCTATTTCCTAACATTATTTGTCCATAACACCCTTTTTAAATTACACAATAGAACTTGTGCTGTTTTCAAAATACTTTGGGAAATTATGACTTAACCAGTCCTTAATAATAGATGTTTATGATGTTTCCAATTTTTTTCTATTATAAAAATGCTGTGATCAACTTCTTGCTTGTACATTTCTGTATATTCTAGGAAAAAACTCTAAACATAGAGCTAATGGACCAATTGGTATACACATGTTAAAAACTTGATCATTTCTGCCCAACTGTCCCCCAGCAGTGTATGAAAATTGTAAGTTTTTTTAAATGATAATTTTTAATTTAAAGAATAGCTTGGAAGTTATGTGCACTCATCATATATACTTAGTATTTTGAAATATATACAATTACTTCTTTATGGGCATGATTAAAGTACATAGTTATAAATATCAAAGATCTTACTGTGATTGAGGTTTGCTCAGAAAACTATTTAAGAATACACCTCCTCCCAACTTAGAGAACACGCCCAGCATGGATATGTTACAATGTCTCACTTTCACCTTCCTCTTTGTTACATTTACATAGTTCTGGATAAACATCCTGTACTCTTATGAAGATATTAATCCCTTATATCTACATAGTGCTTTATATTACTACAACATTTAAAACAAAAAGAATTGTAGAGGAAAAAACATCCTCAGAGCATTCTTTAAAACAGGATTTTAGCTGTAACATACCCCCCAAAAGATCTTTCAAGCTCAATAGTATCTACATATTTAGAGTCAAATAAACTGTAACAACCAAAATCTTTACCAATCAACCAATACAAGTATCAAAAAAAAGAAATGTGTATGTCTATTAATTTAGAGCTTATTTTCAACGCATAGTTCTATAGTTTCATATAACAAGAAATAAGCTCCTAATATAAAACAAAGATGGTACACAGAGCAAAACAAGATGTATGTTCCTCTTTTATTTTAAAGTGACACTGGTTGTAATTTTATACCTGCCAGTCATTCTCAAGGATACTTAAGTATAGTGTTCACACCCAGGGTGGAGTTCTGTGTAATTTTCAAAGCTCAAAAAAGCCCAGCCTGCTCAAAAATATCTCTCTCAGAGCCTGTCTTAAACTCATATTTGAAGCTTTTTAAAAATACAGAAATTATTATTCGATAGGTCTGGAGAAAAGCCAGGGGATCTGCATTTTTTTAAATGCCCCAGTCAGTTTCATTTGAACAGCGAGAGTGGAAAAGCACTTGGTGATATAAAAAGACTTGGGGAGAAAGTGGTATCTTAGGCCCCCAATTTAAATGTTCATATTGAAACCATGAATCTGTTTTAGTCTAGTTTATTAGATTACCTGGGTGAAAACCACCTTGAGAAAGTTCATAAAAAGTTTCAAAAATGGCAGCAAAGGTAGGACACCTGGCCTAGCCCTGGCCACCAAAAGGAATCGGGGTAAGGACATATGGTAATCGAAGCAAAACTTCAGAAGATCCATCCTGCCAGAAACAATAGTACTTCCTACTTTAAGTATGTAATCCCTTCAACTTCATAAAATAGGCTGAAAAGGAAAAAAATGCCCAGCTTTGTTTTTGTGTTTAAAGGGGTTAGTCTGATAAATGAATAGCATTCAACTACAGGTTACAGTGTCACCAAGCAATGGCAGTCAGCACACGATGAGACTAAATTGGGTTGAGAAATTAAGATAGCACACTCAGAGACATTATGTTACCTTTTACAATATAATGCTCCTTTGTCAGAATTATGTTTCTCAAAAGAAGCTTGTCTCACAAGAACAGTGCAATACAAGCCAAGAAAAAAAAAAACCCTATGTCTTTTAAGTAGTTAATAAATAAAATCCTGTCATTTCCCATTACTTACCAGATCTGGACTTAATAATGTCACTGAACTCATTCTGCCCATCCTCAGGTCTGGCCTCATGTTCTCCATACTTGGCCATCTTTGCTGAGTTTCAATAAAATCCAAACACTTGACTAAATCCTTTTTTTTCTTCAAGACATCAATACCTGAAGAGAAAGGGGGCAGTATTTACTTTAAAAAAAAATACACACACACACACACACACACTTTCTACTTAATACATATAGTCATATACAGTTATACATCATAACCATTTATTCAGGAAATATTTATTCAATGCCTACTATGTGTAACGGCAACAGGATATGACTATCAAAAAGAGACACAGCCTCTGCCATTATGGAGTTAATAGACACTAAGCAATTAATTACATAGGAATTGTTTCTGATATGCTACAAACATACAAAGGAGAAGCACAGAGTGACATCATCACATAGTGGAGGAATCTATTAGAAAAGGCTTTCTTGAAGAAGGGACATTTGAGCCAAGTTTTCAAGGGGGAGAAGAATTTAATTTGGTAATCCTTGACTGAATTCAGAATTTTTCAAAATACACATTTTGGGATAATTTTAAAAAGCTGAATTTGAGCTGTATATTAGACAATATTTTTGTATCAGTATTAAACGTCTTTCAGATTGGTTAATGGTTTTGTCCTTGTGCAAGGAAATGTCTTTGATTGGGGAAGACACATGATGAAATATTTATCAATGAAGTATGATAACATCTTCAATTTAAGTTCAAGCAGGACAGCTTATATCTGTCTGTCTATGTATGTCTATCTATATCTGTCTATGTATACAGATATACACATACTTACAGAGAGAGAAAGACAGACATATGAAATATTGGAAAATGTATTAAAGGGCATATGGTCCAGCTGGTGTGGCTCAGTGGATTGGGGATCCTTCCATGGACTGAGAGGTCCTGGTTTGATTCCTGGTCAGGGACGTGCCCAGGTTTACGGGCTCGATCCCCAATAGGGGGTGTGCAGGAGGCAGCCAATCAATGTTCTCTCTCACATCAATGTTTCTATCCCTCTCTCCCTTCCTCTCTCTAAAAAAAAAAAAAAAAATCAATAAAAACATTTTTATAAAAAAGAGCATATGGTGTTTAGTCTTACATTCTTTCTAGTGTAATATTATAGGCAAGAAATGACTGTGCCCTAAACAAAGATAGATGGCAAGAAATGGGTGGATATGTGAGATATTTAAATACTAAATAAAGAAGCTGCATAAGCTTTGGGAACTGGTTGGATATGAGAGGCTTAGGACACTAGGGACAAAATGACTGCCCAATGGGCAGTGGAGTAGAGGGTGAGTCGTTCACTGAGCTGGGGAGCTTTGGAGGATAAGCCACTGAAGGAAGAAATAATTAGTATAGTTTGGATTTGCTGCATTTGAGGTGTCTCTGAAATATGTCCGTGGAAATAACAAAAAGCGGTTGGATATAAAGGTCTGATCTCAGGAATGATCTGGATTAGATATAAATCTGAATAGTTATATGTTATATCATCTTAGAAGGTACATCATATTAATTCTGCTAAGTATAGATATTACTTGATAAAATAATTTTAATCTTCAGTAATTAATTGGTCAGAAGTGTCTTTATAATTTAAAGAATTCAGTATTCTACCCCACAATACCATCTTTTCTCTAAGAATGTCAGAGTACTGCACTGCCCTAATACTTTCAAACACAATGCCCCCAAACTCAGACAGAATCAGAATTCAATCAGCAACTGGGTGCTATCCTAATGTGAATTAAATAAATTAATCATTTAATTGTGAATATAACAGTCAACACATCCAAGTAATAATCTGTGAATAACGGTCGATAATTCACATACTACACCATATATCAGAACCAGAGTTCACTGCTAGCTGGGATTAGACAACTCAAGTCTTTAATTCAAGGACATATCATGTGGCATTATTATTTTATAATATTTTTCATTTTGTATATTTATGTACTATTCAGTATTTTATATATTATTTTTATCACATATAATATTCAAGGAAAATTATTTTATAATAATATAAAATGCAATATATAATAATTATTATATTTTTATCCTGCTCAGTCAGAAAAAGGGTGTGTTATAATAACAGAGATCAAAATTACCTTAGAAAAAAGTTTTGTGTTAAAGGTTGGAGGCAGATGAAACGCTAGTGGACTGTGGAAGCTGTAGGAACAATTCACTCTCCAGTAGGGAGGAATATGTGGATTGTGGGTCATCAGTCTCCCAAAATTTATGAGTATAAAAAACTTTTTTCATTTTTTATATTGCTCTATTACTGTTAAGACTTTAGGGATTATTATGTGATTAAGTTCCCTTTTGTGGACACAAACCTGTAAAAGATTTGCTGAATTCTTAGGTGTATTTTATCATATTCAAAAACTTTGTTCAGAGGAATGCATATAAAATTTTGTTATAGAAAATCAGGTTTTCCCAGCAAAATGCTCTTTACTGGAAAACACTTGCTATTCCCTTTGAGAGATATTTCTAACGCTCTCCATAACTGGTCTTAGCCAAAGGCCTCCCCTTCAATGATTCCCAAAGACCTGTCCCACTCCATTAAAAAAAGTAAACTGTTTACACAGGACTTTATTTCATTTTCACATTAACATTTCCTCATTATAATATTTTATTTTACCACTCTCCTTAAGACAATTTCTCAAATGTTCCCTTCTTGATAATCAAAATCCCTTACATACTACGAAGATACAGCAGAAAGGGGGATCAGAGGACAAGGAAAGAATGGGAAGGAGGCAGGAACAGTGATGACCAGCAATTTCCACTTGTTGCCATGACTGGCAGGGGGCTCCAGGTTGAGTAACATGGCAAAGAAGATACCTCCTCTTAAATCGATAAATGCTGCAGTGATTTATAATTGGTCGTCAGGAGACAGAATCAAAGTTTCATCATTAGCAAGATGGCCCTCCACTTTCACATCTGTGAAGTGGAGGGAAGGCCATCTTTCACACACAGCTAGTTTAGAAACAGAATAAACAGGACATTGCCTTAGAAGCTTTAAGCCCGTTCAAGTTGTAATTTATTGTTACCACTGGTCTACGTTCCTGTGCCCTGAAAAGGATGTTCTTCGAAGGTTAGCCAGATCTTCTCTCTGAAACCAATACTCAACATTTTCTTTGGAACATTTCTGGCCGTCCTGCGGACCCGAAGCCATGAGTGAGTGGCAATAAACCAACTGGGGATGAAAAAATAGGGGGTGGCCTTAAAGGGAAAGCTCAAGTTTTAATGGTAATAATATAATATGGGAATTACATAATGTAACAATACAAATATGTTCAACAATGTACAATTTTAATGGAAATGCGATACTGATCCTTGGTCAAAAACCATTCATTCATTTACACTGGGGACCAAAACCGTAGCTAGAGAGATTGAAAAGGGAAGCGAAAGGGGGAACCGGTTGCCACTCTGCTTGATACATAGTAAAAGACACCACCCAGTGCCAAGAACTGCCATTCACTGTCGGAAGCGCTCCAAGGGAAGGTTAATACTACAGTGATTAATACTGTTTACAGGGCAATAAATTGTATGTAAACACCCAAAGGAGAGTTAAAGAGCTGTCTCATGGGTCCCATAATAAGAGCAGAGGGGGCGGGGAATGGCTGCATAAACCTGGGCCCCTAGCCGCTTGGAACTCTGGTGACTGAAACACCCACGAGCTTCTCATTCCTCCGCACTCGCCTGGCCCGCAGCGCTATCCACGGGCTGCGTCCCCCATGCCCACCAGCAACCAGCGGGAGGGGCCAACTGGACTTCCTGAGGCACGTGCAGGTTACTAGGCATGGATGCGGCTGTTGTTGCCGCCAGTCCAAGAGGCAGTGAGCTCTGGCCCTGACCCGAGGACCCGGGGTCCCTCGTGCACCGAAGCAACCGTTGCACCGACCCTCCAAGAGTCTCATGGAAAACTGACCCTGGAGGTCCTGGTAACCGAGGGGACCTGATGGCTGGGAAAGAGGACGCTCTCCCCGGGATATCCCAGAAAGTGGAGCCTTAGACGCAGATTAGACCCCAGGCTCTCCAGTAGAACAAGTTGCGAGTCTCCATGCTCTAGGACACATTTTCTCCTTCCCTAGAACAAGTTTTTTCCGGGCCTTGAGGGTAAGTTCTTTTAACAACGCGCCTTCTAAAAGTTGCACAGCCTAAAATTAGTGCTTTGTTGGTTTTGTAAGTGGCCTTGGGCAACCAGAGGCTCGGATCCGGGGCCAAAGTTGGGCATGAATTACCTTACCAGAAAGAGATGCCAAGAGTCCAGAAAACCAGAAGAGGCGATCGCCCCGGACCACGCACCGTCCCCTCTCCGGAGCCCCACCCTCCGGAGCGGCAACAGCCCGGAGGTCCAGCACGTTTCCTGCCAGGCAGATGGCTACGAACTGTTCCCCTGCCCGCTGACCAAGCCACCCTCTCCTAGCGGACACCTCAGGGGCCCCGCCTTCCTGGGCTGGGGCGTGTGTGACAGGCCACGTCCCCTCTCGGAGCTCACTGGCCCAGCGCCCCTCGCCGCGCGAGGCGCGGTGCGCGACTCTCACATCCCGGCAGGGAGACGCGGGGGAGCCAAGCGGCAGCCCGGAACCTGTCGGAGGAGTTAGGGTCTTTCCCCACTAGACGGATCTCGATGGCCTCCCCCTCTGTCCAAGTGTCTGTCATTCTCTGTCCCACCGCGGGGTAGCAGAACTCAGGTTCCGAGGAAAGTATACGCAGAAGTTGGTTATATCTTAGCCTCAGTCTTGAGATGGAGCTCGGGACGCTGATCCTGGGCTCTGGAGCCGCAGAGAAGTCCGTCCTCCCCGCAGCCCACCCCCGCTTCCCCGGGCTGTGGTCACATTACCCAGCGCGGTGCTTCAATAATGCAGAGACTTACCTGCTCCCGTGACCCGCGGGCCCGCCTCGCCTGCCAGCCGCCGCCGCGTCCCCAGCGGGCAGGGCTCGTCTGATGGGTTTGGGTCTTGGTAAGCGCGGGGGGTATGCGCGCGTGAGTTCTGTGGTGCGACTCTTTTTTCAAAAATGAAATGCAGAGACCCAAAAGAGGTCCGGAAGGAAAAAAGAATTTTGACACCCTTTTCAAAATGCCCCTGACTTGGGCGAGCTTCCTGCCCAGAAGTAGTCCGCCAAAAACAAAACAGTCTAAGTGCAAACCTGGAACGGGCGCGCAGGCACCAAGTTTGCCAAACACTAGAGAGTTTTCCGTCTGCAGAACTGACCCAAAAGAAGGGGGGCACCGCTCCTGGGGCTTCCCCAATCGGCTTCGGGAGCCCGAGGCTCCTCCTCGCCCCCTCGGCGGGAGAAAGCCCGCGGCAGGCTGCGGCCGCCGCTCTCCGCCTCCGAGGCGAGGCTACTCCACAACTTGGGCGAGCGGCTCCGGCTCCTCCTCCTCCCGCTCCCCGCCACGGGCCTGCCCCTTTGTTGGAGCGGAGCACTGGAGACGGAGGAGGAAGGGTGGGGCGCAGGATCGCTCCCAGGCGTCCCCCTGGGAACCGGCTCGAGGCCGGGCACCCTGGGGCCCGCTCTCCCGAGGAGGAGGAGGCCGAGCAGCTCCGGTCGCCGGCCGGCACCGCTCCAGCGCTCCCGCTTCCCGTCTCCTCCCGCGCCCCGCCGTCGCCAGCCCAGCAACTTTGTTTCGGGAGATCAGCCCCTCTCGCCTGCTTGTTCGGCCACAGCCCCGGCCCGGCCCAGGCGGCCACCGCCGGCTGGGCTCCGGGAACGTGGCGCCCGGAGTCACCTGACCGCGCGCCCGGTCAATCAGCGCCCGCCCTGCGCGCCCTCCGGGCCCGCGGCGGCCGGCCCTGCGCTCAGCTGGTCTGGGGCTGCGCGCCCCCGCGGCTCCGGGAGTGGGGAGCTAGAATGGATGCCTCGCACACACACAATCCCCATTATTCAGGTTATCCGAAAATGTGAGTCACACCCCCACTCCAGCCAAACTGGGTAGTTCGGAAGATTTTTTTCGCCTTTAGAGATAAATTTCCATTTACTCCTCCACTCAGTCGGCTGACGTTGCTGATTTGTTGGCCCTAGTTTCAAGAGTATATTTATTTTATATAGTTTTCTTAGTGTTGTTTTACTATTAAAACAAACTTGAAATTTTGTTTCATATTTATTTATACCTACAAATAGTGTTTACCCTGACCTTATTTTCCTATTTTTTTCCAATATACACAAACACAAACATACATACATCTATATTATGGAGCCTGTCTCAAGGCTGAGGAGTTGGTTAAAAAAATATCTGGGAAGAAAGGAGTTTGTGCTGTGTGTGCATTTTTCTTATTTACATATTTCATTCCCCATGTGTTTCTGTGATTCTTTTACTTGATCATCACGCTTGGAAGGGGGAAGAAAAAACCAACCTAAGTTGCTATTTGGTATAAACAAAGAGGAAAGGGTGATGGATAAGCAAGCCCTGGCCTCTTACTGGTTTAGTATTTGAGTTAACAATTTACGAGTTAGTAAAGATAAACCCCTTGGAGCCTTAAATGAATTTTTCAGAAGGAATTCACTAGCCTTTCATTAGTTATAAAGTGAAAGCTTCCCCAGTCCCTAAATGCTATGGAGTGGTAGGAGGTCCTGAAAGATAGTCTTTCTTAAAGTCTCAATTTAGCTTCCTTCCTTGAGGATTTTTCTTCATATAATCCAAATAAAATCCAGAAGACTAATTTGAAATGGTTATAATTTATTCACTCACATTCACTCATTCATTCATTCATTCGTTCGTTCATTCATTTAACAAGCACTAATTTGGGGCCTGCCAGGTCCCCTGGCACTGTGAATGATCCAAGTAAAAATCCCACAGAGAGCTTACCTTATAAAACTTCAAATCTAGTGAGATAAGGCATGTAAACAAGTAAGGATATGCAAGATCAGCAATCAATGTCATAAGAAAGACAGACCAAGTGTTACTTGAGTCTGGCTGTATTAAGGGAGCCTGTGGTCTCTTTGAACTGATAAACCTACAGACCCTTGAAGCTCTCACCCCGCACTGTATCTTGCTTGTTGAGTTGATGGAAACTCTGATTTCCTCCTTTAAAATAAAGCCACAATGGAGTGTTTGAGGATTTTGTTACTTAAAATTATGTAAGTGAAAAGCACTTTGTAAATTGCAAAGTGCTACACAAATATTATTTAACTCAGTTTTTGAAAAACAAAATCACTTGGGGACCTAGAATTTCTGAGTTTTTAAGTTCTGAGGGAATGTTTAAGTAAGTTTCCCCAAAGGCTGTAAGGCAAGGGTCACGAGGGACAACAGCCACTGTCTGTGAGGGAGTGACTCCACCCCACACTCTAGCTTCAGTGGCTTGGAGTGTGTCACCTCTGCTCTGTTTCTAGCCCTTCTCCCGTCATGCCTGGACTAATGTTCTCTGTGGCGCTGGGCAAGAGAGAACACAGATTTTCCTGTTGATGAGGTGAACAGGAGGACCCACTCTGGTCCTGCTCCCTGTTTCCTTTGTAAGTGGAGAAATCACATTTTGGGGAAGATTTTGACCACAGAGGGCTGTTTCCATAGAACAGATGTATGATCCTTCAAAACCTGAGAAATAAGTTGGGGGAAAATGAGACAGACCACCTGGAACCACATTGCACCTGTGGTCACATGGCAGGATTATGGGCCTGTAATAACAGTGCTCAGTGGGGTTTTGTCTGCCCCCTACAAAGATCGATGTAGAGCGTTCAGGCAAAGTGACACGAATGTGGCCCAGGGTCTACCATCAACCCAGCAGTCACCCCAGAACAGTGAAAATTGAAGAAAATTGAACTTCTGTCATTGGGATAAAGCCCTTGACATAGGAGAAAATATTGATATGAGTAGTGTATATGTAGATTTACATATAAAGATATATACATATTTATGTATATATAACATAGAGAGATGTGATTCTACATAGATATTGTTCATATATATAGGAAATAGCATCCTAATATAAGAGCCAAAAAGGAAACTTTCTCTACTAAACTTTGTACAAGAGTACATAAATGCAGTTTCTCTATAAACAACAGCAAAACACGTATAAAAAGCAAGACACTCCTTCAATTTTACCCTTGGTGTTGGCTGTGAATAAAGCCTTACAGTCCAGTGGTTCTCAGCGTCCCTAATGCCGCGACCCTTTAATACAGCTCCTCATGTTGTATGTGGGCGTATCTGCATGTGGGCGGACCCTCCTGGAGACGGATAGAGGAGCGGTGTCTCCGTTCCTAAGACCATCGGAAATATGTTTTCCGATGGTCTTAGGCGACCCCTGTGAAAGGGTCATTCAACCCCCAAAGGGGTCGCGACCCACAGGTTGAGAACTGCTGCCTTACATGGAACCGTTTAAGAGAGGAACAAAGAGTAGGGAATTTACCTTTTATTTTTTTCGGGTCTAGAAAATATAGATCTGTGGTTTACATTGAATAGATACTAGAATATTTGCTGAAATTGTTGCTGAATTCTTCTGTCAAACATGTAATAGTTATGCAAGTTGAAGATAGACATAAATGAAATTCTTTGTAGTACAATTAAGGAGAACAAGAAGGAGAAAAATGCATGAAACTTTCCAGAATTAGTAAAAGGGAGATTTTCTTACAATGTAGTGAGCTAAAGAATCAATGGGGCCTGGACCCCAGTCAAGATGATGGCTTAGGTAAACTCTGTGCTCTCTTCCTTTCACAACCACATCAGAATTACAACTAAATTATAGAACAACTACCCATGAGAACCAACTGAAGACTAGCTGAACAGAACTCTTACAAATAAGGATATAAAAAGGAAGCTACATGGAGACTGGTAGGAAAGGTGGAGACTTGAAGCAGGCTGGTCGCCCACAGATGTGTGGTGGTTGAGAATCAGGAGGGCTATCTTGGGCGTGGAGGACCCCCTGAGGACTGAGGGGTCATGGTCCCACACCAAGCTCCCATCCTGGAGCACCAGCGGCAGGAAGAGGAGTCCCACAGTAGCTGTCTGTAAAAATCAGTAGGAACTCAGTCCAGGTGAGATGGAGGACTGCTGGAGACTCAGGTGTTCCTCTTAAAGGGCCCAGCACAGACTCGCCCACAAACACTGGTCCCAAGCTTCAGAAAAGGAACGGCAGCTTGAACAGCTACAGGGACATCAGGGAGGAACTGAATTGTCTGACTTCAGGGGCAGGACTGGAAGGGCAGCTCTCTCTGACGTAAGTGCTGGCAGATGACATTATTCCTTCGTTGAGCCCGCCCCCCCAACACAGCCAGCAGGCACAAATGGCACCATATCTGAGTCTCCATTAGCCTGGTTAGCACCCACCCTAGCTCCGCGCTGGTGTTTTCCTGAGACCACACCCAACACAAGCACCGAGCTTGAGCCTCTTTCAGCAGCTGTTACTCACAAGCTGCCTAGCTCAGTCCGCA